TGACAATTTAGCTGGCAAAAGACACGAAAAATCGTCGATTCTTTCGTATTTGAAGCAATTTGGAAATCGAAGCGGAATAGAATTTAACATTAGTAAATAATATAAAATAAATATTGAAAATTGTAACGAGATAATTATGGGTAATAGATATATTATATGTAAAATAAATAGATGTTATATGTTTTTATCAAAGCAAGAATTGGCATTTAGAGGTCATATGGAATATATTGGATCTAATAACAGAGGTAATTATATTGAACTTGTTTATTTATTAAGTACGTCAGATAAATAATCTATTAAAAATACATTTAAAGAAAGAATTAACTGATTGCCCCTGGATGTCGGCTTCTTATAGAAACACAGCTTCCCTATCATCAAATGTCACGGCACGCCCCTGGTCTACTGTAATATATTAAAATTTTAAAAATGGGCTATTATTTTATAAATACGCAATATTTTTAAATAAAATCTTCGAAAGGGTACATAAGAGGCGGTCAGCTCTCATAAAAGCTATTAAACATATGCAGACGCGTGAAGTTTTTGATAGCTCGGTGTCACTATTTTCTCGTAAATCAAGGCGACAAAATGCTAATTGCAACGATCCAAAACGATCCAATAGATTTGTTCAAAATTTAAGAGGTCCGTAGTATTCATCATGGACACTAAATATTTTAAATTTCATTTAAATCGATTCATTGGTCTTGGAGATATTAAGGGTTAAAATTGGCACTTTAATATTACAAATGTGGCAGAGCTCTATTACGAAGCGTTACCGAGCTCTATGATAATTGTGATGTGCAGGAAAGAGGAACAATATTTATGTTTTTATCATCGATTTCAAGATCTGAAAAATATTGCAGATCTTGAATATCCATTGTGGGCCAAGTCGCGCCTACGCTGGATACAATTAAGCTAGGTTCACATTGGTATATAGATCCGCTACGAACGAACGAAACAAATACTAATACATTCCACGAATTATACTACAAATACATTCCACTCATTGACAAACAATAAAATCACATACATTATAGACATAGTCATCCAAAACATTCACAATGTACAAAACACATGAACTGAAAAAATCAGCAAGTACACAGAACTCACCCAGGAAATAAGGCATATGTGGAGGATGGATAAGATGCTTATTGTACCTGTCGTTCTCTCCTCTATAGGTGTCATACCACACACACTACACAAAAGCCTAGGAACATTACAATTGAATAGAAACGCATACATCACACTATAGAAGGCCACTATTGAATACATGCCATATTGTTAGGAAATTCCTGAATACAGACACATACTGGCACACTTACAGTATTTAATTTTTGTGTTGTTTTGGTTGTTATGCCTTAGCTCTGGTCCGGCATAGTATATAGCAACTAGTGTCAACCGAGTAGCAACTCGCTAAACCCAACATAATAATAATAAATATTATTGTATTAGAACTTTCACTGCTGTCTGATGGTTGGATAAACAAATTCCAGACGTGAAAGTTTATTGGTTGAACGAACGGAAGTTCGGCAGATATTGAGACATTTTCAACTCCTAACGAACTGGCAGTTCGTATCCACTTCGTAGTGGTTCGTATGCCAATGTGAATCTAGCTTTAGAAAAGCATTCTCAGTGTCTTCAAGCAGAAAGATTAAAAAAAAAATCAATCTGAACTGCCGAGGAAATAAACTCGCCAGTCTGTCTTTTTTGGCTTTAGATAAGGTGATCAGTTGTCTCCGATTTTGTCTGTTTTAATATTTGACTGTAAAATAAAATCTGTCAATAGAACGATTCTATTAACACTCCAATATAATATCACCAATCTATAGATGAATAAATGTATACGTTTTAAAAGATAACCAAAGTTCAATCAATTTTAGACTCTGTTTTCAGTGATTCTGAAATGTGAACCCGGTTCAGTGGCGCCCGCAGACTATAAAATAGGGGATGCAAGCTATAAACAAAAGGGCATCGTATAAAGGGTAATCTGTATATACAGTAGAACCTCGATTATCCGCCCTAATTGGGGACTGGGGTTGGTCGGATAATTGAAAAGTCGGATAACCGAAAAGTATGAAAAAATCCATTATTAGTGTAGTATATTATTATATCCCATGTAATTAGTATATTAGTATATCGCTATTAACCTATTTTGCGTTGAATTTTCATCAATGTTAAGCCTAACAAAAATTTTTTAAAATAATAATCGTCGCTATTGTATCGTTAAAAATTAGAAAATTAAGCTTCGTTTAAATACTGGCTCCCTTTCATGGTCGAATGAGTGTTGCCAGCTAAAACACGTAAAAATAATATTAAAGTAGCCAAGACATAGCCAAATATTGTAGCGCCACATCACTAGCGGACATTTGAAATTTGCCGACTAGGACGGTCGGTTAACCGAGGGGTCGGTTGATCGGGGAGCGGATAATCGAGGTTCTACTGTATATCGTATAAAATATACAATATATATACAGGTATCCTTTGATTAATGCAGTTAATTAATCCCTCGATGCTCCGCGTATATCAAAATCGCGTTAATGAAATATAGTGGTACCTCGATACTCGACCGAACAATATGACTCGCTAGAACAAATTTTCGATTAATAACAAATATTTTAATTTTGTCACCAGTAAAATAATTTTTTGTGATAAAAATGAGTAACTAATTTTAAAATAAAATGAAACCTTAGAATTTTCTCGGGGATTAACTCTTAGTATACCGGGCAACCTAACGACAAAGGGGAGACATGTGCCCCAAAGTACGGGCGACCTTGCCCCAGTAATATTGTAAATGTTATGGTCACCATACTCTAGAGCAGATATGGGCAAATGCGGCTCTTTTTGAGTTACATGCGGCTCTCGCTGAAAGTGTTAATTTCTGCTTTTTATTATTATTTTTACAATTTTATTTCCACAATTTTGTGAAAATATATTTATTAAAAAAATCAATATTTGTTTATATTATATTTATATTATATAATAAAATCGCGGTACAGAACTGCAGTACAGAATAAAAAAGCACAGAACTGCGGCTCCCATGCGTTTTGCAAAACCTACATTTCGGCTCCCACTGAACTCTTGCTTGCCCACCTCTACTCTAGAGGACCGGGCTTCATTATTCAGTCAGTTCAGGAATTTTCATGGCGGTTGAACCAGTTCTGATGGATTGCATCCTTCATCACTCGATTACTCCTAACGAAGGAGATAGACAAACGTTCTCTTACTGCTTTCAAGGCGGAGAGAATTAATAATAATACACATGCAACAAATACAATAAATTCGTCAAAAAACTTATCATTACAATGGATTATTCGATGTATTTTTCAATTACATATTGTTTTAGACTATATTATCTAGATTGACAAATACAATTACTATATAATTCAAAATATTATAAATAAATTCTGGAAAGTTTACAGTGAAATAACCGTAAGGGGGCTAATATTAATTCAGCCATCTTATTTTGTAGATCGTCTTCCGAGATGTCTGTATCTAATTCAGAAAAGAAATTTAGAATGAACGAAGGCGACTGGATTTGCAGTGATTCACAGTAAGAAACTTAAAGCATCCCATTACATTTTTAATAAATTATCACAAAAAAAAACCATTACTATTTTGTCTACACTTAAACTATTGGCAAATGTTTTTCAACGTACAAAATAAACTCATAATAATAATAATACTAAATATGAAATATAAAAACAAGAGAAACATAAAAAATATGATAAATAAACCATTTGATTATATAATTTTGCTATAAATAGTATGTGTAATAATTCCAAAAATGTTAATTATTTTAAAAATATTTGGCAAAATTTAATCTTCATTCTATCAAGATTTTTATAAATATTGTAAATGAATAGAAACATATTTAAATATAAGTTATTTATTAAAGTAGAATGGGAGGTTATAAACATTTTTTAATATTAAAGTTTTATAAAAATAATTTACAGTTTTTCATTTATTATTATTGTTATGAATGTTTGCCTGTCATTTTTGTATGTCTGTGATGATTCATTTATTCAGATTTTATTATCATTGTTGATTTGTAAGATAAATGAATTAAGTAATATATCTTATTCAAATTATATTAATTTGTTAGAATTTCTAAGGAATGGCTTTCATTGATTTACTTACATGTTGATGTTGCTTGATGTTTACTATAATTTTAATTTTATATATTGATTATGTATTATACGTTGTTTATTTTCATGCAAGAGGATATGCAGAGAATGTCATACAATTCTAAATAATATAAAATTTGATTTTTTTTTAATTATAACTTTCAATAAGTGTGAATATAATGATGACTAGGAGAAATTTTTTTTTTATATTGGAATAGTTCAATGCAACTATGTTCTTCACAAATTACTGGAGTAATTAATTAAATGCACACAAAACCTTTTATCCAATGAAAATTCTGAATGTTTTTGGCCTTCACCAAGGCCTGCCTGCCTCAGGTTTTTAACAAAACCGAATTCCAAAGTCAAATGTCAGAATGATGATGTTTAAAAATAGATTTTTTTAAAATTTCGAATATCTCATCACAAGGCAAATTATACGGATTTGGTTTCGGAAGACAAATTTATTTGAAATTCGATTTTGTTAGAAATTCTGAGACAGACCTTGGTGAAGGCTGAAAACGTTCAGAATTTTCATTGAAGTACTGTTACTGGATAAAAGGTTTTGTGTGTATTTAAGTTCAATGCAAGCATTCTTTTAAGAAAAAATTTGAAGTGGTAGCTTAAAATATTAAATACTTAATTACTGGTTTTTTTTGAAAGTTAGACAGTTAGACTGATATCTTATATCAATATTAATAATTAGAAATTAAATACTTTAGAATAAACTAGATGCAAACTGAGGCTGCATCTTCTGCATACCATGCATATGTGTTATAAATTACTTTACTAGAACCTTCATCCAAACTTCTTTGATCTAGGCAGCTTTTAACTGGTAATGCATTTGGATGGTATGCAGAAATCTGGGTTTACATCATATTCCTGCATACTGTTCTGGGTTGATCATCTACTCTATTCTAAATTATTTATTTTCTAAGAATTGATATTGATCTAACTGTCTGCCATTAGACAAATTATATAATAGATTAAATTAATAGTCTAAACATGTCCAAATAAATCTGGTAATTAGGTACTTGGCTGTAATATGTCTTAATATTAATAACTTGAGCTAGATTTTGAAGCATGAATCTGCTATATTTCCTACCTGTATTGCTTATGCATATCAGAAAATATTAAACTTTTTATAAATTATGCAGTCACTTTTTTGATAGAAATTAATGAGGGATTCTTAAAATATTGTGTTCTGATTATATTATGATAGCATTAAATAGAAACATTTAATATTTGCTGATGTTTTCATATTGATATAAATTTTAATAAATTTTTTGGTGCTCAAAATTTCTTACAATTAAATACATTAAAAACTACATGTTCACAAAGATTGTTCTATAAAACTTCCATGAACATGGGATAGGAGAAATACATTAAAAAAATAAAGTTAGAGATTGAAAAAAAATATATGATTAGAGAATAAAAACACATTTTTATACAAAGTTTTGCTATCACATTTCTAATTTCTGTCTCTTGTTTCTTAATGGTAGATTCATTTACTTTTAAAGCATGAATCTGCTGTATTTCCTACCTGTAAACTATTTAGCACTTTAATTTTGTCTTTAATGAACAAGGAACATTATTTTCTTTGATGCATTTGATATTTTTTCTGTAGGAAATAAAAGATAAATATTTATATGTAACAAATTAATGAAAGAATTCTTTAATAGAATGATCAAACATAAAAACAACATGCATGCTTTCAGGTTGTAAACCCATCATCAGGCCTCTCACATTTGAAATTGTTGTCCTGGTAACCGGTCAAATGTGAGAGGCCTGATGGGTTTACGACTCAAAAGTGCTAGCAAGTAAATTTATTATTTTTCATGTTTGATTACTCTGCTAATATATTCCTTTATTAATTTTTCATTAAAGTCTGTTTACTTAGATGATATTGTTGATTTGAAAAGATAAAAGAAAAATTAACTATAACCCACTCAAAAAACCCTAATGCTGACATTCATAATACATATCAATATAAAACATGATGTTTACTACTTGCATAAGTTCATGTGCTATAATAGCATTAGAAACTACTAAATATTATGCAGTAGTAAGTACAGTACAGTGTAACAATTGATAACACAAATCGCTGTAAAATACTGTTAAGACAAAAGTATAAAAAGATTATTAAATTATTTTTTTATCTATTATTTCATTATTTTCTGTTAATAATTTCACAGATAAATGAATTTTAGCTTTACGAATATGAGAAAAATAGTTATAAATATACTGTGAATATGAAGTTTCTACTGTACCATTAAAAACATTTAAGAAAAACATGTTTATTATTAAATATTTTTATATCTGTATTAATATCACAGTAATATCAGAATACAGACCTATTTTATTAAATAATCACAGGCTTAATGGATTTTGAAGTTAACTTGGTTTTCTTTAAGAGGCAAGAAACAATTTTTCTTTGAAGCTTACAGCCTTTGGTAAATTATTTTGAAAACAGTTTCTAATATGAAAGGTTTTGATTCTGTTATAAAATTGTGAAGTATAATGAAATATTAACATTTTTCTTCATATGTGATTCCTAAAACTGGATATTTTTTTTTATTGTACTTGAAAATTTAATATTTTTATAACTTTATTGAGGACAGTTTAAAAAACTCAAAAGAATCTTTCCTACTACTAGTGTATATTTATAGAAGATGCTTTTCTACAGCAGAAAGTTCAAAACAAGTAAGTTAAAATAAAACAATTACTAAATTAAAACTGAGTAACTCACATGATTATACAATGAAACTTCAGAACTAGACTCATATTTATGAGTATTGTACTTATTTATAACAGTTCAATTTAATGAGCAGTTTTTTACTTCTCTGCTTTTCCATTTATGGAATACTTGATACAACAAGCACTGAACTGCTTTTACAAGAATTAAATATTCTGATCAAGAAAACGAAATTTCTTCATTCTCCAATTAGATGGCTCATAGATTTCAGTCTCTATTTTCTTTGTTTCATTCATGTTCTCTTCATTCACTATGAATAGTGCTATTCATTTCAATGTAGTTATGAAGTTTAGTGAACTTACCTCTGTGTTTTACATCCTTCTATCAGTGGTTACAATAATTAAAAAAAATTATGAGACTGAATCAGATGATTCCATGGTTAAACTTGAAATAGAAATAACTATGAAATTATTTAAAGAAGTCTAGTTTTTAATGTGATAAAGCACTTTCTGGGATCCTTACATCAGATCCAAATGTTTAGCTGTTTATACTCCAAACCAACCACTACCTACAATTAACCAATAACCGGTGAGAAATTCTTTAAAATCGGCGAACATTTTCGATTCCCCTCCTGGGATCTTCTTCAGGCTTACTTCTTTATAGCTTTCGTTATAACTGGATTCTTTAATTCGAATCTTCAAATTAAAGAATCGAATTAAAGAATCCGGTTATAACGAAAGCTATAAAGAAGTAAGCCTGAAGAAGATCCCAGGAGGGGAATCGAAAACGTTTGCCGATTTTAAAGAATTTCGCACCGGTTATTGGTTAATTGTAGGTAGTGGTTGGTTTGGAGTATATACAACCCGGTGTGGTGAGAAAGCACATTAGTTTAGCTGTTTTACAATCAACTAGCAGCAGCTGTTCTGTTCTATTATATTTTGCTGTTATTTTCTGGTAATATTGCTGTTTTCTTCTGAGGAATAAGATACACAAATTCAATATTCAATTTGTCATATAATACATCCAAAAACTGGACATCCTCTTCTAGGCAATGTTTTAATGTTTTTTGCTTCATTCCAAAAAATGATGTAATAAAACTTGTCAGATCTTACTGAGAACATTAGTGATGATGAACTCTCCCAGATAATGAATTCTTCCCTCATAACAAAATGAAAATATATAAAAAAAAACTGCATAATATGTCCCTTTATTTGTGTACTGTGTACTCTGTACAGAGAGTAAGAAAAAAAATATTATATCTTGGTTTTATATCTTTTACAAAAATATTTACATGGCATGCCAATGTTCCCAAATGAGAACATACCAAAATATTTTTCTCTGTTAAGTAAGCAAATAAGAGTAATCAATTTAAAGAACATTATTATAAAATACTGTATAGGTATAAATTTATGTAAGTTATTATAGTTATGACTACAATGTAGTTATTAACAGTTAGTATGCTTTTACAAAACCTTGAGAAGTCTCCCTCAGATTGTATAATCTAATAACAACAAAATTTGGAAGCAAAATGTTCCAAAACTAAATTTTTCAGGTATTTGTTGAATTGAGTTCTATCAACAGAAATGTTCTTTGGAACATTTTACATTTAAAATTTTAATTGATTAAATAAATATTCAAACTTTGTATTAATGAAAGCTAACATTCAATATACATAAACAAGAATTATATGCACATTCTGGCTTTCATTTTGAGATTAGCATGGTATACATGACT